GCACTGGGGACTCTCCTCCTCCTTTGGACCTCATCGGCTGAATGCGCATGCACAGCAAGAGCCACGCGCGCATTCAGTCAGTTCATAGGAAAGCATTTTAATGCTTTCCTATGAACGCTGGCGTCTTCTCACTGTGAAAATCACAACGAGAAGCCTCTAGCGGCTGTCAATGAGACAGCCACTAAAGGCTGGATTAACCCTATTGTAAACATAGCAGTTTCTCTTAACCCTAGAGAGACCTGGCACCCAGACCACTTCATTAAGCTGAAGTGGTCTGGGTGCCTATAGTGGTGCTTTAATGTATTGTATAGCTGTAGTCAGCAGTTTCTTTTGTTAGCACTATCTGCTCTTAGCTCCAAGAAACTTGAAAGGATTAGTAGAAAAGTGTCTTGTTCACCCTTTCATTAACAAGCAACACATGGCTTTGTCCTAACTTAAACCGTTAACAATTCCATTGCTGTGTTAACCTTTTAAAATGTCATCAGTCTGCAATATATGCTACTATACAGCTAGAATGTATATGCATACATTAAATAACAATCCATACTTCACAGGCCCTCATTCGGCAAATTAGTATGTTATGTGGTATGTTATGTTCTATGCATATTCTGCCTTGTAGTATGTTTGATGTTGTGTATATTCAGACATATAACATGTTTGCATGATTCATATTCCGCCTTTATTTGGCAATATAGTTTTATACTGTGCATATTCAGCCCTCATACAGCATGGTAGGTTTTGTGCATATTCGGCCATATAGTATAGGGCTAATATTGCATGTTTGTATACTTCATATTCAGCCCTCATTAAACTATATAGTTTTGTATTATGTGTTGTTCATATTCAGCCCTCATTTGGCCATATGTTTGTAGGTATTGCTTTAATTACATTTGGCCCTCATTCGGCCTCACTGTTGGTACATTTTAGGTATGCATTTGGCCCACGTTCGGCCACATGGCATATTTACTTTGAACATTTCACATAACTATCATAAACATGATCAAACCTTCATACATACAGTTGTAATCTCTAAGGCAGGGTTTCCCAAACTTTATGGGACGAGACCCACCTTTCAAAATGGTAATTTTTTTAGACCAACTTGCTTTTAATGCATATTTTAAAAAGTGAATACCATGGCAATCAGCTTTAGAGGTATAAAATTGGCACATCATGGCAAACAGCTTTAGAGGCATACAATTGGCACACCATGGCAATCCGCTTTAGATGCATACAACTGGCACACCATTAAACTGGTTCATGGATTGCGGGATAAAACTTACCAGGAAAGGTTAAAGGATCTTAACATTTATAGCTTGGAGGAAAGACGAGACAGGGGGGATATGATAGAAACATTTAAATATATAAAGGGAATCAACACAGTAAAGGAGGAGACTATATTTAAAAGAAGAAAAACAACCACAACAAAGGTTTAAAAATAATATCAGGAAGTATTACTTTACTGAGAGGGTAGTGGATGCACGGAATAGCCTTCCAGATGAAGTGGTAGAGGTTAACACAGTAAAGGAGTTTAAGCATGCGTGGGATAGGCATAAGGCTATCCGAACTATAAGATAAGGCTAGGGACTAATGAAAGTATTTAGAAAATTGGGCAGACTAGATGGGCCGAATGGTTCTTATCTGCTGTCACATTCTATGTTTCTATGGCAATCCGCTTTAGATGCATAGAATTGGCACACCACGGCAATCAGTTTTAGAGGCATACAATTGGCACACCATGGCAATCAGCCTACATAACAATGAGGGGGGGGGATCTATTTTCCTCCCCCCCGGCCCCCACCCCTGAGTGGTGGCCATAAATAAGAATGTGGTGGACCTACTGTCCTCCCCCCCGTCCCCACTCCTGAGCGGCGGATGGGGGCCATAAATAAAAATGTGGAGGAGGGACCTACTGTCCTCCCCCCAGACTCCCACCCTTGCGCAGCGGGTGGGGGCCCTACATAACAATGAGGGGGGACCTACTGTCCTCCCCCCCGGCGCCACCCCTGAGCGGTGGGTGGGGGCCATAAATAGGAATGGGGGGAGGACCTACTGTCCTCCCCCCGGCCCTCACCCCTGAGTGGTGGGTGGGGGCCATAAATAAGAACGTGGTGGGTGGACCTACTGTCCTCCCCCTGGCCCCCACCCCTGCGCGACGGGTGGGGGCCATACATAACAATGAGGGGGGAACCTACTGTCCTCCCCCCCGGCCCCCACCCCTGAGCGGTGGGTGGGGGCCATAAATAAGAATGTGGGGGAGGGACCTACTGTCCTCCCCCAGTCCCCCACACGCTGCCTTAAATAACAATGGGGGGGACCTACTGTCCTCCCCCCCGGCCCCCACGCCTGCGCGGCGGGTGGGGGCCCTACATAACAATGAGAGGGGGACCTACCGTCCTCCCCCCTGAGCGGTGGGGGCCATAAATAAGAATGTGGTGGGTGGGGTTTGGGGGGGGAGGAAAATGGATTCCCCCCATATTGTTATTTAGGCCCCCCCCCCTCTTATTTTAATTTAGAGCCCCCAATAGGGGCAATAGGTTTTTTTTTTATTTAAATTTTTTTACAGTGAGCAGCCACTGGCTGCTCACTGTTTACTTGACATGCCCCTACTCGCGGTATAGCGAATAGGGGCTGAATTTAGTAATACTAAGTAATCTTTACTTAGTATTAGTAAATATGGCTGAAAGACCAATTTAGGTCTTTCAGCCTTTTGGTAGATAGCTCCCTAATACCGTGGGAATTATGGAGTTATCTACTAAGCGGCTGCAAGATGCAGCCACAGCACGAATAGGATCGGAGTTTCATTCATTCGAATGAAATTGCGATCAGAAACAAAGTCCCGAATTGCGTTCTAACACAAATGGAGAAACTGTTCTCATTCTGTTAGGACGCAATTCGGCAGTTTTGCCGGCGTTCTGTCTAAGTGACAGGACGTTCAGCAATACTGACAGGAAGCATCGCAGGAACAGGGAGGAAAGATAAGGATTATGGGAAAATTGCTCTGACCACCGGAAACGAAACACACTTTGCACCTCCGCTGGTCATGGCTTAGGAAAACCCCAGAAGAGAAATAGTCCCTACTTTGTCTTAATTTTTAAAGAAAACTAGAGGAGACAGGAAGAAATAAAGAACAGATCCCGAGTGAGGGAGAGAAGAGGAATCGATTGGGGAAAGGTAAGTTCGGCATGACAGTGCCGCTTTAATGTACACAGATACACACTAACACACAATGCACACAGACACACGTGGACACACTGACACAGATACACATACACGCAGAGACAGGAGGTGAGGGTGACAGTGTGGGAGGGAGTGTGTGTGTGCTGGTAACAGGGTGAGGGGGCAGTGTGAGAAAGGGTTACAGTGGGCGGGCAGGCGGAGAAATGGTTACAGTGTGGGGGGCAGAGGGAGAAAGGGTTATAGTGTATGGGACAAGGGAAGAAAGGGTTACAGTGTGGGGGACGGGGAGAAAAGGCTACAGGGGGGGCAGGGAGAGAAAGGGCTACAGTGGGGGGGAGAGAAATAGTTACAGTGTGGGGGGCAGGAAGGAAGGGGTTACAGTGTGGGGAGGGGGGGACAGGGAGAAAAGGGGCTAAAGTGTGGGGGGCAGGGAGAGAAGAGGTTGTGGGGGGGGGGGCAGGGAGAGAAGAGGTTGTAGGGGGTCCAGGGAGTGAGGGCTGTGGACTACCTTTATTAAATTTCCTGAGGGTCCAGTGTCTCTCCCTGATGGTCCGGTGGTTTAACTCTCCGGTCTACAGCTCCGCCGGGTGCAGAGCTGCAGACCGTGTAATAAAGTCTTGCGAGCTCCCAGAGTGTTGCCATGGTAACGCTATGGGTACTCGCGAGATTTTTATCACACAGTCTGCGATCTGCACCCGGCGGAGCTGCAGTCCGGAGGTGCTGGGCAGACTAACTGGAGGGAGCCTGGCGGCATACAGGGCAAGCCGCCAGGCCCCTTCCTGATCAGTCTGGCTTCCGAGTTTCCGGCGGCCCTGGATGTGTGGGGCAGCGCAACCCACTGGGAATCACCCTGCGACCCACCAGTGGGTCGCAACCCACACTTTGGGAACCGCGGCTCTAAGGAAATGACTGTGAGTCTGGTTCTTAGTCATTGTCTCCCTTAACTGGCCGATATTTGTCCCACGATCATACGATAAGCTGTTCATCTATATGCCCCTAGTCTTACTATCAAGCTTTGTCCATATAATATATATGCACACTATAGTAAAGTCAGCCCTATATACTGCTGTTTCTAAACTAAGGTACTTATTAGCATCAACCACGCCGTTTCAAACTGTTATACAGTAAATTAAGCTATGTTATTTGAATACTCTACTCACATGGGAATGCATGACTGTTATTATTAAATTATAGGTAATATTATGTTGCTTATCACAGTTGAAGTTGGAGGAGATTGCTTTGCTATAGCATTAAGGCCTATATTGTTACACGTAAGGTAATCATACCCTTTGTTATCATACCCTTACTGTTATAAATGTTTTGTCAATGTTGCCATGGTAACCATGAATCACTGAGAAGTGCCAGTTTGTAAGGCAGAGTTATCTGTGGGGTCTGCACCTGCTGGAGGAGCAGATCATGGGCTTCCTTCCTCTCAAGGTACTGGGGCACTCTTGGCTGGCTGGGTTGATCTATCTCCCCATCTGGCGTATTTATGTCTGCCATAGTTTGACAACCCCTGACCAAATATATAACCCATATTATGTTTTATATTAACATTACCAGAACCTGCACAATAATTATACCAACATATTTATTTTCAAGCTGCAGACAAAAATGTAGTCGTATATTCTTGATTGTATGTTTTTGTGAAATGTCAGAAGTTGATGAAGTCATATTCTCGATTCATAGTGAGGGTGACTTCCAGTGTGTCAGTAACTGACATAAACTGAGCCTTTCCAGTTTTTTCATCCACTGGGTGAGGGAGGTGCAATACCAGTTTGCTAGTCGAGAATGAAAATATAAAGAATAGACAATTATTATACATTAAAAAAAAAAAAAAAAAGTGGTGATAGAAAAACATAAGCAGACTCCCCACTAACTGAGGAAAAAGTTCACTTTTGTGCATTGCCTTCATATCAGCATATATGTCAACAATTCTCGGATTCATCCTGGCCAGCAAGCATCACGTTTCAAACTCTTTCCTAACTGAAATCTGAAAACATGATGCCAGGCTGAGCTAGCATGTCCAGAGAATGGTAGAAACATAATTTCTTGGAATTGCTATGCTAAAGATGGACTTTTCCCAAGGTCAAATATGTACGCAATGAACAACAATATATTTTGAAGTTGTCTTTATTCAAGTATTCCTGTGTGTTACATTGTTTAAAGGTTGGAAAAACAAAAACCTTAACATAAATAGATCAAGATTTTGGAAATGCACACATTTATTTAGCTGCAAACAGAACACAACTTTTGTTTGCCCATTTAGCTCTAGTTGGTGGATGTTCTTAAAAAAGTGTTGTATAAAGTTGGACATTAGCTATCATGTCCAGATCATCTGAAGAAGGAAAATAGTCCCCATCAATGTCTGGCTTCTCACCTTCTAGTACCTCCTCAAGTAACTCATAGCTTACCTTACAGCCCCAATGAAAAGTATGGGAGTTACTTGAGGAGGTATGGGGGGAGGGCGGTGGAGAAGAGCATTGGTGACTTCCTTTACTGTTTCACTTTATTAATAGATATACAACTGGAACCTCATATTGCTGCCTAATTACACATGGTTTCTTCATCCATCCACTATTTTGATCCCTGGAAAATCCCACCAACCAACAGGCAGGAATTGGAAGTAGGGAATCACAAGAAAGGAAGTGTATTATCCACAACCAACAACAGCTCAACCTCCGACACATCACAATACGCAAACTCATACACCGCCCAACAGTCCTTACATCACACACACACACACACACACACACACACTGATAAACATATATGTATACCCAAACACACTGATATACAGACATATATAGATACAGACATATGACTTGTGTTTCTGACTGCCTCTCTGCTATTTCCAACTTGATGGCTGCTCATTTTCTTTAACTTAATCTGTCCAAAACAAAGCTTCTCGTCTTTCCTCCCTCAAGTGTAGCTATTGCTATGTCTGTCTCCCTCCAAGTCAATGGCACTAACATCAACTCTACCTCACAGGTTTGATGCCTTGCTGTTCTCTTAGACTCCCACCTCTCCTTCACCCTTCAAGACAGTTGCTAAATCCTGTTACTTCTTTCTCAAAAATATATAGTTTGCATCTGCCTCTATCTACTGCTGGATGTGGCTAAGGTCCTGGTCCATGCTACTATCATCTCTACTACTGCAATCCGCTTCTCAGTGGTCTTACATGTTCCCTTTGGGCCTGATACAGTCCATAATGATTGCAGCAGCAAGGCTCATCTTTCTGTCTGCACGCACCTCCCATGCCTTCCCCTCTGTCAGGTCTTACACTAGCTTCCCGTAAGATAGTTAACCCCTTAAGGACCAAACTTCTGGAATAAAAGGGAATCATGACATGTCACACATGTCATGTGTCCTTAAGGGGTTAAATACTGGTTCTTGCTTACAAATTTGTGCACAATGCTGCTCCTAACTACCTACCTATCCTTACTGATACACAAGTATGCCCCATGCAGGCCCCTACGCTCTGCTGGAAATCTGTGTCTATTCTCTGTTCCTACTCGCACCTCTGATGCCAGCCTCCATGACTTCTCCAAGGCTGCACTGTCCCTGTGGAACTCCCTTCCCTGCCCCACTAGACTCTCACCCAGTCTCACTTCTTTCAAAAGATCATTAAAAACTCACTTTAGGAAAGCATACAATTTAAAATGTTAATAGCAATCCTTCTTTGCACGTTGGTAACCCATCCTGCTTCGTCTCCTGCAACTTTTTTTCGTCTAGTAAACTAACCCTTCAATGTAAACTATTCGAGTAACCTACTTTTTTCATGTACATGACATACATCCCACCCTTATTTCTTGTGCCACTTTACCCCACTCCCTCCAGAATGTAAGCTCGTTTGAGCAGGGCCCTCAACACCATCTTTTCCTGTGTGTTCAACTTGTCTTGTTGCAAAAACACATCTGTTAGTCCACCTATTGTCCAGCCCTATGGAATTTGTTGGCGCTTTATCAATAATAATATGATCAGTGTGTATCTGGCTGTATTTTTGAGTTAGTGCGTCCGTATGTGCACATGTCTGGCACTGTGTACCTAACCGTTACTATCTTTGTGTGTGAATGTGTGTCACTGTGAGTATGGCATGTTTGTGTCTGGGAGAGTATGTGTGTAGGGGAGCTGCTTGGGGTGTTGTGTGTCTGCTTGGCTATTTGTGGTCTTTGTGCATTTTGTTCATGGCAAAGCTGTTTCATGTTTGGGAAGCAAATTTATGTGTATGAGGATAACATCTTCAGGGAGTGACTGTGGCATTGAGAGTGTGACAGGGTGAGTGTGTGATAGAATAAAGATTGATTGTGTGACAAGGCGAGGGGGTGACTGTGGCACTGACGTTACACCTGTAATGTTTAAACTGCTGTGTTCATGCCTGATGTAAAATTTTTAATCATCATTTATAAAAGGTACTGTTTTTTTTTTATTAGTGTAAGTCAGCAATCTTTTTCTAATTGGTCTGTTTTCTGGACCATTCATGGCAGGGTTATGGGCAGAGCCTGGGATTGACTTGTGGTGAACATATTGTGCCCAAAAACTGCATTTCATACAAATAATGTTCTTTGGCTGATGTTTAAAAAAAAAAAAAATATATATATATATATATATATATTTTAATTATTATCAATAAAAGGTGAGATTTACTTACCTGATCCTGTCCTTTATGCTCCAGGAGCATATGTCACTGTTGTACTATCACACGTGCACAAAAGTACAGTATTGAGGTCTACGGAGGATCCCACGAGACCTTCCACAGATACAGCAAATATCTCTACAGCCATCACTAGTGGCGGCTGGGAGATTGATTTTTCTAAACGGCGGTAGCTCCACCCAGCGTCTAAAAGGGTCAGGCATAGGAACAATACTGAGCCAAAATAGTTACTGCTTTGTCTCAGTATATTTTTTGACTGGGTTAGAATTTTAGTGAAACAGTACCGCATTAAGTTTTTTTTTATTCCACGTTTGCCTGTATGTCTTCTAATTATTACATATTTTTTTAATTAATATAAAAACAATATAAAAACTGCGATACACTCCTGCTTCCAACATATGTCCTATAACTCCCCCACACCCCAAAATAACACGACTGAAATTATTTAATACTTTCTACACTATTACTACTCAATAATATAAATCAAACGCTTGGTGGAGGATCTACAAGTAACTAAACTCAAGGATACACTTACTTTTTCAGCTTGCACAGTGAATGAGTACTTAAAGTCATCAAAAAAATGTGAAAAGTTCAACTGGTTGTGTTTTATAAGTTTAATCAGATGGTGTTTATCTATAATAATAACTAAGTTGTAGATCAACTCATATTATATGAGTAATCAATGTAGCAATCCAAGTAATTGCAAAGGGTTCACAAACTTTTCTTTTCAACTGTGTTTAAGTAATTAAATCCTAAGTTCTAAGTATTACTTCTTATAGTTGACTATGCCTTATATGTTTAATTTATTTTCATGTTTAGAGAACAAGACCCTGAGGAGCCAAGCAAGGCCTAGGCAGAACAGGGACATGTAAGTGTGAGGTGAGTGTATACAGAGGAATGTGGTAAAGTGGTCTTGGGATACTGGGTGGAGTAGTATGGGGTAGATGAGTAGGCTAGTATAAATAGGTTGCCATCTTACAGGATAGCAGCCATCTTAATTATCAGTTGGGAACAGCTTGGTAATTGCTGGTTGTTGCTCTATTTATACCTGCTTTCCAAGTGTTGTTTGCGGCCAGGGTCGGTATGGATATCGAAACTGTCCTCTCTGCCTCAGGGCTGAGGCCTTCAGGCCTCCGCGGCTGTTGCCACCTCCCCTTCTGGCAGTAGCCGAGGTCCCCGGAGGCGATCTCGGCCACTGGAACGTTTCGCCCCTCAGGGGGACGCTACAGGCCCTCCTGGGCTCAGGAGTGCACGACTGGACTCGCGGATCTGTTGGTCTGTGGACGCGAGGCTTGCTTCACCTCTCTTCCGGGCTTCTGTCACTACCAGACAGCGGGGTGGTCCACGGCTGCACGCGCCTGCTTATTATCCCTTTTCCAGTCCCACGCAGCAGGAGCCGCAGTCCTTCATCCCGGGCTGGCTGGTCCGCAGTTACTGATGGCGCTCCGGCGCAGGCTGAATCTCCATCCGCGGCCGCTGAGGGTTTTCCAACAGCCTTGTCTTCTTCATCTGTGGACCCATGTGGGTCCCGTGGCCCAGGTGGGCAGAGTGGTGGACGGGACTCCAGGCGGGTGAGTAGTAGGGATCGACCGATATTGATTTTTTAGAGCCGATACCGATACCGATATTCTGTGAACTTTCAGGCCGATAGCCGATATAATTTGCCGATATTCTGTACATTTACCATTTTGGAAAATAAAAACTATTTCTAAAGGTAAATGCACAAAATATACATGCCACATGTAGTGGATGCAGTGTGACAGGGGAGCTGTGTGTGTTTGTGTAGTGTGTGTAGAGGATGCAGTGTGTGTTTGTGTAGTGTGTGTTGTGGATGCATTGTGTGTTTGTGTAGTGTGTGTGGAGGATGCAATGTGTGTTTGTGTAGTGGATGCAGTGTGTATTAGTGTAGTGTGTATATAATGAAAGCAGAGTGTTTGTGTAGTTTGTGGGTAGTGTGCGTAAAGTGAATGCTGTATATACTAAATGCAAAGTGTGTGTGTATATAATGAATGCAGAGTGTGTGTGTATTTGTGTAGTGTCTGTATAGTGAATGTAGTGTGTGTGTTTGTATAGTGTGTGTGTGTATAATGCAGTGTGTTTGTGTAGTGCGCATTATATAAACACACTACGCAAACACACTGCATTATATACACACACTATGCAAACACACTGTGTGTGTGTGTATATAATGCAGTGTGTGTGTGTGTTTGTATAGTGTGTGTATATAATGCAGTGTGTGTGTTTGTAAAGTGTGTGTGTGTGTTTGTATACAATGCACACAAATACACTGCATTATATACACACTATACAAACACACTGCATTATATACACACACTATACAAACACACTGTGTATATAATGCAGTGTGTGTGTGTTTGTATAGTGTGTGTATATAATGCAGTGTATTTGTGTGCATTGTATACAAACACACACACACACTATACAAACACACACACTGCATTATATACACAGTGTGTTTGTATAGTGTGTGTATATAATGCAGTGTGTGTGTTTGTATAATGTGTATATAATGCAGTGTATTTGTGTGCATTGTATACAAACACACACACTATACAAACACACACACTGCATTATATACACAGTGTGTTTGTATAGTGTGTGTATATAATGCAGTGTGTGTGTATATAATGCAGTGTGTGTTTGTATAATGTGTATATAATGCAGTGTATTTGTGTGCATTGTATACAAACACACACACACACACACTTTACAAACACACACACTGCATTATATACACAGTGTGTTTGTGTAGTGTATGTGTATATAATGGAGTGTGTGAGGGGGCATTTTTTATTAAATTATTATTTTTATATTTAATTAATTATTATTTATTTCTGTTGTCACCCCTCCCTGCTTGTTACCTGGCCAGGGAGGGGGGATATAGCAGTCCCTGGTGGTCCAGTGGTATTGGCTGAGCTGCGGGGGGGGGGCAGAGAGCAAGCGATTACTCACCTCCCAGCAGCTCCTCCAGCTCCCCAGTGCAACTCTCGCGGCCAGCGTGTCGCGCGGAGCGTTGCCATGGTGATCCATGGCAACGCTCTGACGGCCGCGGGTCTCGCGAGAGTTACACTGGGGAGCTGGAGGAGCTGCTGGGAGGTGAGTAATCGCTTGCTCTCTGCCCCCCCAGGACCGCTGGGCTTGTAATGAGCCTGGCGGTCCTAGGAGGTATTATCGGCAATATCGGTATCTGAATTAGCCGATACCGATATTGCCGAGAATACCGAATATCGGCCGATTATATCGGTAAAACCGATAATCGGTCGATCCCTAGTTCTCAAGTCTACATTAAAGGGACACAATAGTCACCAGAACAACTACAGCTTATTGTATTTGTTCTGGTGCGTATAATCATTTCCCTATGGCTTTTTGCAGTAAACCCTGTCTATTCAGAGAAAAGGCAGTGTTTACATTACAGCCTAGGGACACCTCCACTGGCCACTCCTCACATGGCTACTAGAGGTGCTTCCTGGGGCAGTGATGCACACTCACAGATATTCAGTGTCTCCTATCTCTGTATGGAGACACTGAACTTTCCTCATAGATCTGCCTCCTTGACAGACTCAGCCAATCCTATGCTTTTTTATGGAAGAGCATTGTGATTGGTTCTGATCACCACTTCTGATGATGTCTGCCAAGCAGCCAGAGCCAGCAGCAGACTGAATTAAATGTAAGATGATCTATAGTATTTATAGTGACCTTTAAAGTTATAAAATAATGCAGGGTATTTATCAGACCTATTGACTCCCAAGAGCTGGCTATCACTTACATATTTCTTAGCATTTTGGTAATAGATATTAACAGGGTTACTTACTACAGCAGGGCTTGACAAATCACAGGCGGCATTGTGACTAGGATTTTTGTCATGGCGTCTGGGATTTGTTGGCCAATTAGTCCCCGAGGTGGCCAGCTTATAAAGAGCATTGGCGTGCATGCGGTCGGTCAGCTCAGGAAGACATCCTTTGGCTTTCTCCAAACATAAGCCCTTGTGGTGCAGAAAATAAAGTGAACGATGACCCATATATAATTTCAGACTTTATAGCTTATTTCTCTGTTGCCCACAAATCCAGGTTTTGTGCCTTTCACACCCGGATATGCATCAAAGTCCATTGGTATTAAATCAAAGTAATTTCTTAATGCTACCCATCCCTTAAGTTCCAGCTTTGCTGACAATATTCTTGGTGAGATGCTGTGGTGCTGATTTGAGTTGCAAACGAACAGCCTCAAGAACATCCATGTGAAGGGACTGTCTATCCCTGGAGCTTTGAATCATGACCTGCATGAACAAAGGTAGAGGTGTGTGAGTAGGAAGGGGGTCATGGTAGCGTTGGCAGTGAGCACTAACAAGAACATTGCCAGCCAACTAAGCTTATGTAATGCATTCACCTACCCAAGAGCTTATGGGTTGGTACACTCCGCTCTTTATGGATTATTAACCCCAAAGGGACACACATTCTGGAATAAAAGTGAATCATGACGGAATATTTCCGTCATGTGTCCTTAACCCCTTAAGGACACATGAAATGTGTGACATGTCATGATTCCCTTTAATTCCAGAAGTTTGGTCCTTAATGGGGTTAATGTTGTCCTAGAGAAGCAGGGCACAGAAATAATCTAGAATGGTGGAACACAGGTTCTAAACAGTGACTGCTTCACCACTTAGGAGGTACGCATAATGGATTGTATGTATCTGACCCCATTGTACCGTGAGATTGCAAACCCTTGCGCCATTTAGACATATACTACATCTTCATGGCTGGTGTGACATAAAGACATATTTGGAATTCTGGGTGAGTTGGCTTTGTCATGTGTCAAGAAGAATATAAAAGTTTTCCTTGTGGGAGCCTATTTGCATCTTCAGATCATCATAACGATCATAATGATTCTTATTTTATTTTTGAGAGTTGTGTCTAATTATTATTGTCCTCTCATTTAGCCATTTTTGGAGCTGACGAAAGCCAAACGTCAAGCCATGCCTCCAAGCCTCTCATAACATACTGTGCCGTCATGTCCCAGTCAGCCATAGAGAATTACTGTATTCAATGATTCTCTATGGCAGAATCATAGGTGCATCGCGTTGAGCACTGCACATGTGCCTGCAGGCCCCAATGCTCCTCTGTGAGGAGCATTGGATTAAACAGTCATTTTGGAGGAGCCAAGGAGGTGATCTCGGGAGCACCGTGGGAGATTCGACTCTGGAGAGCAGCTAAATAACTCAGGGATTGCCTGAACTAAGCAGGCACATTAATACAGATTATGTACTGCCAACGCTAGTGTTCCTTAAAAGTGATTATATACACAGTATTTCGATATTTAATACATCATTTGCATAAAGCCTACATGCAACATTGTTTTTTGATGTCCAACAGTAAAGATTTTTGTTACTTTGCATAATCAGTCACATTTCCACATTTTCTTAGTTGTACATCACTGAATTAAAGTTTTTTTTTTTTTTTTTAACAAACACTTTGAAGGTGCAATATATTTTATGACACAAATGTGCTGTTACGAAGTAGCCTAAAAACCAAAACCAAAAAAACCCCAAGAAAATATAACTTACAGATCATACTGTTCTATTCATTCATGTGCCTTCAGTAAGTTTCATTCTATCCCTAATTATGTGTTATTCATTGCTGCATCAATCTGGTACATGTGATCATAAATGCCTTTCTTTATCAGCCCTTCTGATAAGTGTACACTGTGATCAAGGTAATAAGATTGGGAGGAATTTGCCACTAAATATATTTTTAGGTTTATTAAAATAAATTATGTAGGCAAGTGATTCTCAGCCCAGTTCCTGAATGAAACTAATAACCCAGATAGAGTTCATTTCTGCAGAGTGCCTTTAATGCTTCACTGCATAATAAATAAAAAAAATTCACACGCCCTTCCTTATAAAAGAAATCTAGTTAACAAATGGAAGATTAAAAGGATTACTCCTAAAAACTAAAAAGCAATAAACTGGATGGGGTAAGCCTTGCTGGCATGCTCCATCATGCTTTCCACACTCTGCAGGTTTCCAGTGCCAGAGGATGCAAAACAGCCCCAGAGCATCACAAGCCATCAACATGCTTAAAGGGACTCTCCACTGCAGTTTTCCTGGCACTGCAGATTACTGCAGTGCCCCCCTCCCTCCCAACCCAAGTTGCTGAATGGGTTAAAACCCCTTCAGTGACTTCCCTGAATCCAGCGCCAATGTCCCTTGGCGCTGGGTCAGGCTCTGCCCACCGCTGCGCGTGCATGCATTAGACCTCCCCATAGGAAAGCATTATTCAATGCTTCCGATTGGGGATTCCGGGGCCGCTGAAGGTCCTCATGTATAGCGTGAGTACGACCAGCATCGTTTAAAACACTTTTCGGGTTTTAAGAACCCGGAAGTCCGTCTAGTGGCTGTCTGATAGCCAATAGAAGACTTAACCCTGCAAGGTAATTATTGAGGTTTATAAAAACTGCAATAATTACACTTGCAGGGCTAAGGGTGATGGGAGTTGGACCCCAGTCCACCACAATGGGTAGAAGTGGTCTGGGTGCCTGGAGTGTCCCTCTAACTGTAGGCAGTGTGCTTTTCAGCAAATGCTTAATTATTTTTCATCCAGACATACCGCTGATCCATTGGGCTGAAAAGTTCATTTGTTTTATCGCTCCACAAAACATCTGTGGCTTATTTATAAGATTTTGAGCATTTCGGAGCCAACTTTTCTTGTTCTTTTGGGTCAGTAGTGGTTTACATCTTAGAGTTCTGGCATGGAAATCTTCCGTGTTGCCGCCTTACTGTGCAAACAAACTTCTGTGCCTGTTGCCACCAAGTATTGCTGCAGGTCTATACTTGTTACCGGAAGGTTTTTCACAATATGCCTTCTTCGAAATCTGGTTGCAGCCATCAATACCTTTATCTGCTCATCCAGGTAGTCTGACCACTTTTCCTTCAACTTTGAAGTTGCAAAATAGGCTTCCAATTATGGCACTAGGAACATTTAGTGCCTTCAATGGAGGGGGAAACATACAGACTCCAAGCACCAGGTCTACTTCAAAACACTGAAGTGGTCATGTCACTCATAGTAACCCATGATCATGTAGATCAGATTTGTCAGCCTAGTTGACTGTGAAGATTAAGACACAAACTCAGCCACACAGAACCCATTATAGCATCAAAAGTCAAGTGGTCCCCAACTAAATTTAGGCTGCACTAACACAATGTTTTACAGTAAACATATGAGGCATTTATCCGTGCCACCTTGCCCAATTTATTTATAAATTTCATACCCAGTGAGCTTTCAATTATAGAGTCATTTTCCATTTAT